CAAGGAAAGCAATGAGGAGCCCGGGCATCACAACCACAAGTAGCCCCTGCTCGCCACTACTAGAGAAAGCGTGCATGCAGCAACCAACACCCAGGGCAACCGAAGAATAATTAATTAACGAACTTTAAAAAATGCCAGGCCCTAACTTTAATCCAGCTTTTGACTGAATCAACAGAGGGACAGTGGTTCCATTATATGATATGGGGAACTCTCAGGAAAATCACTGCAGAAACCAAAAAGAACCCAAGAGCCTCATTTGGACATAAACCCTGAAGATGCCTATTAGACACTAAAACGTTCTGGTCACTTGTCCTGTGGAGGCCTTACTTGCTCTGCCCATAAAGATGGGGAGTTTCTTTCAGTCTCTCAAGCCTGTATCCCCCTAATCTTTTGTTTTGCCTCTAAACCCCATTACAACAGACTTATTCACAATTTCTCTTGGTTCTCAGAAGCCTGGACTCTTAACAGTGCTGACAAAGGCATGTGTTGCAGTGAAAAGAACAAGGACTTTGCAGTCAGGCAGATGTGGGCTCAAATTCTGTCATCAGTGCTTTCAACCTCCCTGAAACCAAACAAGCTGTGAACCCTCCCTGGTCCTAACACCTCCCTCAACGTGACAACTGAGAATGGCCCTGTATAGAAGAGGACCTTTCAGGACACTTGGTTCCGAACAGGTGTCAGCTAAGATGGATTTTCCTATCGTTCTCTTCAGCTGAGCTTCTAAGAGTGGAAGCAGACAGCTATCCACTAGTTTCTCTTTCTAACTCCTCCCCTCGGCTGCCGTCAACATCCCCGTCCCCAGTGGCTGCGGCATAAACCCCCCACGTCCTAGGCCAGTTCTGCAGACACTCCACGGGGTCACCCCCACCCCCAGTGCACTCAAGCATGCCTTCCACCCATTTCCAACTCTGGGCCTGGGCTCATGCCCCTCCCTTAACCAGAAACGCTCCCCTCATTTCTCTTGGGGGGTTTGCATCCTAAAGACCCTCAAGGATGAACTCAGGTTCATAAACCATCACCAGTTTACCCCATGTCTGGGATTCCAATCCAAACAACACTCAGTTCCTAAATTCACTACAGGAATTTAGGATCTAGTCAAGAAAAGACACTACTGTAAATCTATAACTTGAGGAACTGTAGTTTTTTTTCTTTTGGCCACACTGTGCAGTTTGCAGGATCTCAGTTCCCCAAACAGGCTAGGACTTGGGCTCAGGGAAGTGAAAGCGCTGAGTCTTAACAGCTGGACATCCAGGGAATTTCTTTTTTTTTTTTTTAATTGTTTTATTTTATTTTTGGCTGTGCTGGGTCTTCGTTGCTGCACGTGGGCTTTTTCTGGTGCTTAGCCTTCTCATTGTGGTGGCCTCTCTCGTTGTGAAGCACAGGCTCTAGGCTCTCGGGCTTCAGTAGTTGCAGCTCCCGGGTTCTAGAGCTCGGGCTCCGTACCTGGGTGTATGGGCTTAGTTGCCCCAAGTCATGTGGAATCTTCCCAGATCAGGGATCGAACCCGTGTTCCCTGCCTTGCAGGGCGGATTCTTAAACCCCTGGACCACCAGGGAAGTCCAGTCCAGGGAATTTCTGAAGCTGTTGTGTGTCCTTTGAAATCTGCACAATCTCTCAAGAACGGGTGCTTCGCTTCCTATGGCTGCCGTAACCACCTAGCACACTCTGAGCACAGCCCTGTCCTGCGAGCCTGCAGTGAACCTGATGGGGCTCGAATCAAGGGGCAGCGGGGCTGCACCCCGTCTGGAGTCTTCAGGGTAGGATGTGTTTCTCTCCCTTTCTCTGGATTCCAGGGGCCGCCTGCAACCAGGACTCACGGCCCCTCCTGTGTCTTCACTGCTCATCACTCCTGCCTCTGCCCCTGCTCTCACGTCCTCCTCTCTTGCCCCTACTTCATCACCACCAGGATGATAACACTGAATCATGTGGAGAATCCAAAAAAAGAGTCGCCCCACCTCACCATCCTTAACTTCATCATGTCTGCAAAACCTCCTCCTTTGTTGTTTAAAAGGAGGGATTCACAGGGTCTGGGGTTAGGGCACGGGCATCTTTCGGGGGGCCGTTATTCTGTCTACCTCAGGGGACTTCTCTCTTCCTTCTTCCGTGCAGAGGACTCAGGGTATTGTGGGGTCAAGATCACAAGGGGATCGATTCTGGAGCAGGTCCCCCCGACCTCGCCTCAGGGTCCCTTCCTTCCCCAGTGTAGGCACAGTGTTTGCCGAGGCCAAGAGCTCCATTTCTAAGTTTTGCTCTTTACACTTAAGGCCGGTGCCAGGTCTCAGCCTTTGACTGCAGGAGGTGAGGGTCCCCCGGCCTCTCACACTTGGCCGTCACTGCTGAGCGTCAGGAGCGAGCCCGTCCTGGTCTCTGGTCCAGGCTCAGGTTACCAGCACCTGATTCCACACGCCTTCTCTTTACCATCCCCCACGTCTCCATCCCGAGACAGCATGCCAGCTCTGCACCCCTGTTCTTCTCCCCACTGCTCCAGGCCAGGATCCTGGAGTGGGTAGCCTGTCCTTTCTCCAGGGGATCTTCTCAACCCAGGGATTGAACCCAGGTCTCCCACATTGCAGGTGGGTTCTTTACCAGTTGAGCCACCAGGGAAGCCCCTCCAAAGCACAATCAGGGTTAAGCAGTCATTAAGAGAAAGGACGCTCTCCAGACCCAGCCCAGGGGGACGGGTGTTCATTATATCTGTGTGCGTTTATGTGTGTGCACCTGTGTGTTTGTGTGTGAATAAGTATGTGTATATTTGTGTGTATGTGCCTATATGTGTGTGTGTGTGTGTGTGTGTTTGGACATAGGGAAATGTTTGTGTGTGTTTACATGTACGTGTGTATTAGTGTGTGTTTATCGGTATCTATGTAATCTGTGCAGACATGCGGGTGTGGGTGTATGAATGTGTATTCATGTGAGTATAGGTATCTGTGTGTGTGTGTGTATATGTCTATGTGTTGTGCATCTGTCCGTGAAGGGGGTTAGGGACAGACAGGCACAAATCAGCTGACACACAGGAGTTCCGGGGCTAGAAAGGCAGAGAATGGGTAGGGGGTAGAGGACGTCAGGACCCAGGAGGAACGGGAGGAGAGAGAAAGCTTGAGCTGAGACTGTGGGCGGTTCAAAAAAGGAAGGACTTGAGGGCTTGGGGCGGGGACTAGAGTGCAGGACCGGAGGGCAGGGTTTCCAGGCTGCAGCTGGGACCAGGCTGAGAAGGGCAGGCTTGCTCTGGGGCTGGGAGTTGGGTGGGGAGGAAGACCTGCAGGAGAGGGAATGTCCACCCGGGGGCGCCAAACGTCCTTCCGCAGAGTTCGCGGGGCGCTGAGACCTGTGAGTAGATGAAACCGGCTGAGACTGAAAAGGAAGCGGCGGTGGGGGGGCTCGAGGACAAAATAATCTAGAACACCAGGTGGGGTAGGGGAGGAAATGGAGGACGAGTGAGACCGCAGTGAGCAGAGCCCAGAAGAATCTAGCAACTGGACAGAGGGATGGGGAGAGAATCAAGGATGGGGCAGGCCTAGGAGTGTGCAGAGCCCAGAAAGGTCTAGAAAAGCCGGGGAGAGGAGACAAATTTAGGGGGCCGGGGATGAAGACAGGGTCACTGCCCTGACGGATGGGAGGGGAAAGTCGGGGTGAGGAATAACTCGGCGGCGGGGAGTGGGGCGCTTCGGGGGGAGGGGGTGCAACTTGCGCAGTTTCCGTTTTTGAGGCAAAAAGAGGCCTGAGTCACACCCAGCGCTGCCGGAACCGCCAGCCTCCCGCGCTGCCTTGGGGAGCTCAGAGCTCGTTGGAGTCCACACGGTCCGCACACTTCCCCTTCGGGGACAGTCCTTCCACTCCGAGGGCGCCTCCGTGGCGCAGAGCTTCTCCTTCCCTCTGTTCTCCGCCTGTTCTGGCCCTTGAAGACCGGCGCCCGGGCCCTGTGCACCCCCGACTCCTCTCAAGGTCCCCAGGGCTCCTCCGGCCCTTCCCCCTCAGGTCGGGAACCGGCCTGCCAGCTCTGCACCCAGCGCTGCCCTGCTCCCCACACGGACCTCTCCTCAGGGCTCTCCTCCGGAATTTTCCCTTTGAAACCCCTTCTGCCCTCGGCCCTCCTTCCTCCAGGGGCCCTGTCCTCCTCGCTCCTCCCGACCCGGACCCTCACCCCAGCAGGAGAAAAAAGTCAGCACACAACCAGGCAGGAGACCACAGTTATCGTTTTATTTCTCCAGGGTCAGATGTATTTATTGTCAGAAAGGCGGAGTAGGTATGTTGATGGTAACAGCAAAAGTTTGGTTTCAAATTGTCTTCCAGTGTTTGCGGAAATTGCGGTTTAGGAGCCAGTGTATTAATTCATGTCCGATGTGTTTTTCCAAACTCGTTATCATAACGTTAGTGACATTTCTTCAGTTTCAAGGTGCTCTTCGTTATTTATTTATTTATTTTTTATTAGTTGGAGGCTAATTACTTCACAATATTGGGTACTCTTCGTTAGGCAGGTGCAATTGGTACTTACAATTAACAAGGAAACTTAAATCTCGGTTTTAAACTTCCCACAATGATGCCTCTTCTTATACAATAATATATGACGTCCTTTAAGATTTTCTGAAGACAGTATAGATAGTGAACGGATATATAAATAGAAATTAAACCACAATCACTTTTGCTGGTTGATGTTTTACGCTTTTAAAGACATACATGAGCTTATTTTTTAAACAATTCAGGTATAACTGGTTGTATGTCACAGATGTCATCTTCTGTAGTACAGATATCAATATCCTTTTAATCAGGTATGGAACCAACGAGTTTAAGGGTTTCAGGACTTGCCCCATTCCATATATCATTAATTTATTATTTATGAATTTCCTTACCCTCTCTGTGAGGAATTCAGCAAACATACCCACTAGAATTTCCATGATCTTGTGGTCCTTCAGTGAAATAAGTAACGCCATGGGGAAATCTTCAAGTGCGTCTGTTCCTTGCAGTCCACGGCCAGAATTTATTTCCTCTGACGAAGTCACGAGATGAAGTCACTGGCCAATGGGTGTGTGACACGGAACATGGCGCCACTTGAGGTAAGAGGTTAGTTCACTCTCACTTGTTTGCTGGCATGATGACTAATTATAAAAATTCGGGGAGGAAAAAAAAATTCGGGGAGGATTCCATGTCTAGGTCAAAGTCAATAGTATATGTCACATTGAACTTGAAAATGTATTGGTTGTTTTAAATATCTTTTGATATTGACTTCTAACATAATTCAACAGTGATAAGAGAATAGACTGTGATACCTTTAGACCATGACATTTTTGTACCTTGTTTAATGTCCCTGGATGTGTTCCAGTGTCTCCTAGTTTATGGGAACTTGAAGAGAATTTGTATCCTACTGTTGTGTGAAAATTATGTAAGTCTTAATTATGTTGAATTGGTTCTTCATGCTTTTCAGGTTTACTATATTCTCTACTTCTCTGAATATTCGTTCTATAAATTTTTGAGAGTTTGATGTTGAAACTCCAATTAAAAATCTTAATTTGTCTATTTAAAAAATAATTATAATATACCGTGGAAATACATGTAACCTTGTTCTCTATTTTTCAAGTCTCCTGTAAATGTGTTAGCATACTTTCATAATTTAAAAATAAAAAAGAGAAAAAGTGAATAAAGATGAACAATTTAAAAAATCGGGGGAAAGACTGATATGCAGTGGGCCTCTCCCTCTAGTACTATTGCAGTTGGGAGCCCTTAGCACCTGGTAACTGAGAATGATCCTGTGCTGAGAGGACCCAGGGGGACACGGTACTGAACAGGTGTCAGTTCAGATCATTTTTCCTTTTACTCTCTTCTGCTGAACTTCTAACAGTGGGAGCAGATTGCTGTCCTGTTTATTTATTGAAAGTAGATTTACAATGTCGTGTTTGATTTCTGCTACACTGCAAAGTGATTTATTGACATATCTATATATTCTTTTCCATCCTTTTTTTTTCATATGGTTCATCACACGGTAATGAGTGCTGTACTGCAGGACCTTGGTGTTTACCCACCCTATAGATAGTAGTTTCCATCTGCCAGTCCCAAACTTCCAATCCTTCCCTCTCCTCACCACCTTCCCCTTGGCAACCACAAGTTGTCCTCTATGTCTGTGAGTCTGTTTTGGCTTCAAAGATAAGTTTGTTTATGTCTTATTTTAGATTCCATATAGGAGTTATATATGGTATTTGTCTTTCTCTTTCTGATTTACCTCATTCAGTATGATAAACCCTAGGGTTGTCCATGTTGCTGCAAATCACATTATTTCATTATTTTTAATGGCCGAGTGATGCTCCATTATATACACACACACACACACACACACACAGACACACACACACACACTACATCTTCTGTATCCATGCATCTGTTGGTGGGCATTTAGTAGTTTCCATGTCTTGGCTATTGTCAATAGTCTTGGCTGTTATGAACACTGGGGTCCATCTATCTTTTTGAATTACACATGTGTCTCAGTATATGCCCAGAATTGGGATTGCAAGATATATGGCAACGATATTTTTGGATTTTTTGAGGAACCTTCATATTGCTTCCGAGTGGTTGCACCAGTTTACACCCCCCCACCTGTTCTCCACATCCCCTCCAGCATGTATTATTTGTACACTAGGGTCTCTTCCTGGCTCCTCCCCTCGGCTGCCATCAATGTCCCCATCCCCAGTGGCTGCAGCATAAAACCTGTGCCGGTCGTGCAGACGCTCCCCACCCCAGGGCACTCGAGCCTCCCTTCCGCCCATTTCCATTCTGGGTCTGGGCTCCTTGTCCTCCCAGAACCAGAACCGCTCCCTTCATTATCTTGGTGGGTTCACGTCCTGATGATCCAGAGGCTGAACTCAGGTTCATATACTCTAATCAGTTTACCACATATCAGGGATTCTAATCCATATGATGCTCAGTTCCTGCCTGCCAGGAATTTAGGAGTAGACAAAAAGAAAAGAGACACAGACTGTAAATCTTACCAAGAGGAACTGTAGGGTTTTTTTTTTTTTTTTCCCTTTTGGCCACACTGTGCAGCTTGCAGGATCTCAGTTCCCCAAACAGGCATTGAGCCCACGGCCTTGGAAATGAAAACGCAGAGTCTTAACTACTGGACATCCAGGGAATTTCCAAATTCCTGTTGTGTGTCCTTTGAAATCTGCACAGTCTCTCAAGAAGGAGTTTGCTTCTTACTGCTGTGTTACCACCCAGCACACACAGAACGCGATCCTGATCTTTGAGGTCTGGAGGTGAGAGTCTGAAATGAACCCGACAGGGCTCAGATCAAGGGTCAGAAGGCTGTACCCCTTGAGACTTCAGGGACATCCAGGCTTAATGTGTTTCTCTCCCTTCCCTGCGGGCTGGGGACGTGCTGTATGTAGCCTGAGCGCGGGGGCTTTGAGCACACACTGCGGCCCCGGGTCGGCCACACTTGGGGCTCTAGAGCCCTGCGCCAGGTAGTCCTGGCTCTTGGCTGCTCCCAGGAGTGGGTGGGGGGCAACTGAAGAAGGGACTGTGGCTCAGCTGAGGGCAGTCTCTGCATCAGAGCGAGAGCCTCTGTGAGAACACCGAGCAGCCTGGGCACAGGCAGCACCCAGCGCGTCCACAGCGCGCACTGCACTGTGTAAGTGCTCTTGGAGAGAAAAGGATCAGACGCTCTGGGAAACTATATGAAACTATATGAGATCCTTTGGAGACAGAAGGGGCAGAGAGGAGTGATAAGAAAGGTTAGGGTTCTGACCTGGGGTGAGGTGAGCAAAGCACAGTCAAGGTTAAACTGTCACTAAGAGAAGGGACACTCGCCAGACCCAGCCCAGGGGGAGGAGTGTGCGGACAAGAGCCCATGTGCTACCACTGAAGAGTCTTGGAATTAAGGCCTTGGCATGGGAGCTCTGTGGGCTGAGTGTGTATGTGTGTTTGTGTGTGAAAATGTGGTGTATATTTGTGTGTATGTATGTAGGTACCTGCCTACGTATATGTGTGGACATGGGTGTGTATATGTGTATTCATGTAATTATATGTATCTGTGTGCTTGTATATTTCTATGTGTTGTGTGTCTGTGAAAGTTATTAGGAACACACAGGTGCAAATGTCCTTGCACGCAGGAGTCCCAGGGACCCCTGAAGAAGAGGGGATGGACAAAGGGCACAGGAAACCAGGTGGAGAAGGAGATTGGAATCCCTTGGTTCTAGAAACGCAGAGAATGAGCAGGGAGTGGCAGATGACAGGACCCGAGAGGAGACAGAAGGCTTGAGTTGAGGGCTTGGACAGTTCAAAAAATGAAGGGACTTGAGGGCTAGGGATGGGGGCAGAAAAGTTTCCTGGATGAGAGCACAAGGGAAATGGAGAAGCCAATGGGAGGCAGACTTGGGGTGGGGACTAGAGTGTGGGACAGGAGGGCAGGATCCAGGCTCCAGCTGGGGCCAGGCTGAGAAAGGCTGGATTGCTCTCAGAGAGGGTCTGCGGTGGGGCCGCCAGCATCTAGGGCAGCCCTTCAGGAAAGTGAATGTCCACCTGGGGACGCCAAACGTCCTTCAGTGGAGTTCTGCAAGGCGCTGAGATTTGTGGGTGGGTGAAACTGAGACCACGGTGGAGGCTGAGAAGGATCCAGAACCCAGGGAAGGGAGGGGAGCTGAGCAGAAGACTCTAGAACACGGGACAGGGTGTGCGGGAAAGATACGGAGGATGAGTAAGACTGGGCTGGGCAGAGCCTAGCAGGATCTAGAAAATCCAGGGAATGGGGAGGAGTTTGGGGGGCAGGGAATGAAGAGAGGGTCACTGTCGCTGGGGGTGGGAGAGGAAGGTTGGGTTAGGAATGACCGCAGGGGTGGGCTTTTGGGCAGTTTCACACTTTCGGCAAAAAGAGGCCTCTGGTGTATCTAGTGCTGTAGGAGCCGCCTCGCGGGCGCCCTGGGAAGCCAGAGCTTGTTGGAGGCCACGCCAGCCACGCGCGTGCCCTGCCAGCATGCTTCCTGACACTGCGACGGCTCCTCCGCGGTGCAGCGCGTCTCCTTGTCTCGGTTCTGACCCTATTCTCTCCTTGAAGACTGGCGCCCGGGCCTTGTGCACCCCGAGTCCGCTCAGGGCCGCCCAGGCGCCTCCGGCCCCTCCGCGCAGATCAGGAACCGGCCTCCTGAGCGCCCAGGTCTGCACGACTGCGCCGTCCCTGCTCCCCACACGGACCTCTCCTCAGGGCTCGCCTCCAGAATCTCCCCTTGGGCACCTCCCTGCTTTCGACCCCGTCGGGGCGCAGACACCCTCAGCCGTCCTGCTCCCAGGTCCCTGTAATTCCTTCAGCTTTTGCTGCCAAAATTCGGTCTCTGTGTGTACTAGGGCCGGATTAAATCTCGGAGAGAGCTGTGAGTGAAATGGAAGCACATAGCTTTACTGCTTTGCCAGGTGCGGGGGTCGCACCAGGTTATTGCCCTCAAGACTGTGTCCTGGGACTTCCTTGGCGGTTCAGTGGTTAAGAATCCACCTTGCAATGCAGGGCACAGGGGTGCGATCTCCCGTGGGTAAACAGATCCCGCAGCGCGAGAGCAGCTCAGCCTGCATCCCCACAGCTCGAGAATCTGCCTGCTGCAAGCCAGGATGCTGCCAGAAGCAGGGAATATCCTGCCTGCTACAAGGAAGACCCAAGGCAGCCAAATAAATAAATAAAATATATGTTTTTAAAAAGGCCGTGTGTCCGGTCTTGGAGGGGGTCTGAGGAGTCATACAGTGCTCGAGGAGCAGAGCCTGATCAACTCGAGGCGCTCTTCTGTTGGGTCTGTGATGAGGTCACGGGGAACGGCAGCATCACCCTGGTGGTTCCAGCCGGGCTCAGGTCTTCCTGTTTGTGGGCGGCATAGTTCACTTCTTCTGTCTGCCGGGGGGTTTCTGATCCTGTAAAAGACGTCAAAGGTCCTGGCTCACAGCATTATGAATAGCCCTTGAGGAGAAACTAATTCTGCATGATTTGTTCAAAAGCTAAGCTATTCTTATTTTGTCTTTCTTCACAGTGTTCTTTCTGTTTTTTCTGTGATTAAATTTATTCTTTGACTAAACTTTGTTTTGTTTTTTTTTTACAAACAAAAGGCAGGTGGACCTGGGTGGAGATCTACAAAGGCTTCATAGGGTCTTGCTTGATTACAGTTCCTCTGGAGTCGTCCTCCCTACTTGGGGAATGGACACAGAGTTGGAAATAATCTCAAGTTTCAAGCTTAGCATCAATAGTTTGTATTAAGACAATATTATTTCTCTCTTTGATTGCCTTGTCATAACCCCTGGACAAACATTTGAAAATTATGAGACATATTACAATGAGGACAATGATTAAAGTACACATTTGTCATATTTTCCAAAAGAGTCCTCCTAGTTTAGAGGACAACAAGGAAGAAGAGTTTGCGAGTGTTTCCATTTGAAATATATGTAGTATCCAAGTGGTGTTTGCTGTGAGGCTCGAATTTGAGCTGTCTTGTTCACAATTAGTGCTGCAACTCGAGGAAGTCCCCACTTGAAGAGTATGTGTGCTGATCAGAGAGACCACCTCCAAGAATAAATAAATAATAAAACAATTATACGTATAAAAAGAGTTTCAGACCAAATGCCAAGACGAACAACAAATAGCCTCCTAAGCTCAGGAAATCCAGGCCAAAGTCCTGCCATTCGTTTTTGCCTTGCAGATTTTTCTCTTCTAGAAGTCCGCAAAATATGAAGATTTCTGCTCATGTCAGGAGACTGTCTTTTTTATTTACCTGATAAGGCTGCTCAGAACACAAGAATCATTAACCTCTGGAGGAACAAAGAAGAGAGAAAAGAAACATATTTGCATTTTACTCACAGAGGGAATTTACTCAATTGCTGTCAGTCATTAGTAGCTTGAGGGGAAGGACTTTGCTTTATCTGGAAATCACAGATCAAACCCAATAATATTTCAGCCAACAAAATCCATAAACTCTAAAACTATATTTACAAGTTGTTTCAGTAGCTCATCTTTTTTGTTAAACACTTTTATGATACCATCAGGTTTTTTAAATTAGGATTTTAAAATTTCCTTTATCAGCTGAGCCACAAGGGAAGCCGCCTGGGTTGGGAAGATCCTCTGAGAAGGGAACGGCTACACTCCAGGATTCTGGCCTGGAGAGTTCCATGGGCTGTGTAATCCAGGGGTCGCAAAGAGTCAGACACGACTGAGCAACCTTCACTTCACTTTAAGTTTCCTACCCAGTTGCATGGTATAATGGGAAATTGATCAGAGACCAGTGCTTCTCAAAATGGTCTTCCCTATATGAAGCACTTTTACAAAACCATCCGGGTACAAGAACTCTCTGTGAGTGACTTAAAGATATGGTGACACATGTGAGCACAATGTGATGGGCTAAGAAACTTGATTACAATAACGAGAATTATGACTTGGTAACATCAGGACATACCAGGTTTGTCGGAATTCCTTAATTTTTAACACATCTCTATTAATAGCAACCATTTGCAGTACAACTCTAGAAGACTTACATTTAGTAATGTTCCCCATGGTATTTAACACACCAGTGATGCTAGTCAATCTAATATTTGCCTCTGAGCTGCCTCAAAGTTGCTCTGGAACACTCAAAGTTAGCTAGAGAAAGAGACTTACCATCTGTTCTCCAAGGCAGCTCATTATTCCAGGAAAAGTTTGTTCTGTTAACAGAGAGAGAAAGGCAAATTCTAGTCTTGTACCAGCTTACTATGAAAAATAAAGTTCTTTATCTAATTAAATTTAATTTAACCATAATCAATCCTCCCTTTTTTAAAAACATTTATCATTTTTTGTATCCACATGATATGTCTCTTGTTTTTCCCTATCCAAATCAGCAAAATTATCCTCTTGTTATATTTCAAGAAAAACTACTAGTTATTTTCTATATCTTCTTTTGACAACAAACATATATCCTACTTGTATTTCAGTCTCTTACCATTTTTAGTAACTGTAAATACATTGCATTTCTAAAATCCCTTAAAACTTAAAATAGGAAACAAGCAATTGAACTGGATTTCTTTTTTACAAACATAAGGTTTCATAAAGTATATGACAGACATATTTCACAGCATAATTTTTCTTTAGGTGGCACAAGATGTGTGTTTAATAAACACATTTAGTGTTTTCATTCATAAGAAGGTAAAGATAAATAAACATGCACTTGTTCAGTGGTCAGTGTTTCAGTATTTTATCTCACACTGATTTCAGTCTTCAGTGCATTGTCATCATTTTACTGAATTTAGCAAAACCCTAAAGTTCTAAATTCCCAAGAATTCGGAAAAACAAAATATAACTCTTTTAAAGAGTTTACCTAAAGACGTCTCTAGCGTTTATCTCTATTACCTATGACAATATCATCATAATTAATTTTCTTGCAGTCAAATTTTGTAACAGATAGGACTTTTTGACTCGCAGCAGAACTAGGTGCAGTGAGTGTTGATGACAATCTTGGTGACTCATGTCTCCATTAACTCACACACAGTTAAACAACAAACTAACCTGGGGTCCATACCAAATATGGAGTTAATATTGAACATTTCCCAGATTATGTGAACCTTAGAAATACTTTATTTGTAAGCACTTACTTTTCTTTAAGTCAATTAAATGGAGCTCATTTAGAAATTAATTCAGGAATGTTATCTAAAGACAAAGACACAAACTGAGTCATACATATTTTAGATAAGATTAGGTCTCATTTTGTCATCAGCCTTCTTTGACTGTTTTCCTTTCCACATTTTCTCACTTCTCTGATTAAATTTATTCTTTTTTTTTTTTCTAATCTCGTTGCAAGACATGTGGGATATTCATACCCCAACCAAATATTCAACCGTCATCCCCTGAATTTGACCGGTGGAGTCTTAGCCACTAGACTGGGAGTGAAGTCCCTACATTTATTCTTTGGTGAAAGTTTTTTTACAGACAAAAGGGAGGCAGAGGACTTGGCTGGGGGGTTATTCTGGAAAGCCTCAGAGGGTCCTGTTTGGTTATAATCTGTCCCTTCCCTGGTCTGCCCCTGGCTGGAGTTTCAGCTCCAGGAGAAGGAAGTCAGCACAGAATTGGGCAGACCACAGGAGAGTTCAGATATCCTTTATATCCTGAGAGTGAAGGCTGTATGTTGTTAGGGGCTCAGTGATAAAGAAAACGCCTGCAATGCAGGACATGCAGGGAGCACGCATCTGATCTCTGGGTGCATAAGATCCCCTGGAATAGGAAATGGCACCCCACTCCATATTCTTGCTTGGGAAAGCCCATGAACATAGCAGCCTGGGGGACTACAGTCACGAAGAGCAACTGAAAAGGCCCACAGCTCATCCATTGTCAGGAGGGTAGGGGTGGTGTGTTGCTGCTAACAGCAAAAATTCTGTTTCTCAATTTTTGTTCGTGTTAGAGCAAACTGTTGTTGAGGAAGCAATAAAGGAAGGAAAGCTGGTAATCTGTGTCTTCTGAATACTATTATAATCTTAGGGATGTCTCCCCCGGTTCAAATCAGTCTTGTTGGTTAGGCAGGCAGAGTTGGGATGTATACATCAGAAGGAAACTGAAATCTTAGCCGCAAACATCCCACAATGATGAGTCCTCTTACACAATAATGCATGATGCTGTCTTGTTAAGACTTCACAAAGATAGCATAGATACCGAACTGATACATAAATAGAAATTAACCATGATGACTTCAGCTAGTTGGTGACCAAACTTCTTAAAGACATATATAATCTTATTCCTTAAGCAACTCACGCCTAACGGGTCCCATGTCACCAAAGCCATCTGGTGTAGGACAGAGAGCAGCAACCATTTGACTAGGTGTTTAAACAACTCATTGTATGGCCTCCGGGCCAGCCTCAATTCATCCACTTGTAATTTATTTTCTACAGATGTCTATAACATCTCTGTGAGAAGGTCAGCAAGTATATTTTCAAGAGTTTCTTTGAGCTTGTTCTTGGTTAAATAAATCAGTGTCTCCATGCTGAACAAGTGAGCGTTTCTGTTCCTTTTAGTCTAGGTCCTGAATTTACTTGCTCTGACAGACATATGGGAAGTCTCCATCTCATAGAGGCTGTGTCTTGGCTACTCCTTACTGTGCTGTTGGATACACTACTTTGTTGCTATCTACAGTACTTTCTTGAGTGTATATGAAGTGGGTATAAGAAAAAAGTTTTTACACTTTTATACTGTTTTCTTCTAGTGGATCTAACAAAAAAATTGTAATATACACTACTTTCCTGGCCAGTAGTGGATATAACAAAAAAGCAGCAGAAGGATATTTTGAAACTAGTGGTTTCTAGTGGGAGAGCAGGAGCTTAAATATGGTGGGGAGGAGGAGGTACAAAATCTGGGAGTAAGACAGGCTCTCCCGTCCATGGAATTTTCCAGGCAAGAATACTGGTATTGGGTTGCCATTTCCTTCTGCAGGCGATCTCACCTACCCAGGGATCGATCCCGTGTCCCCTGTGGGTCCTGCAGTGGCAGGCGGATTTTGAACACTACTGCCACCTGAGAAGCCCTAAGACAGCCTCAAGGATGGATTGTGCAACTCAGGGAATATAGGCAATATTTTGTAAGAGCTGTAAATGAAAAGTGCTTTTTAAAATTGTCAACAAAATAATTTTAGAATTTAAAACGAAGGGAGTTGAGCCTGGGTGTGAGAGTAAATGCTTCTTGGACTCGAGCCCAGGGGAAGTGAGGGAGGCCAATGGTGAGAGGTCTCGGAGTAGGGTCTAGAGTGTGGGACAGGGGGCAGGCTTTCCAGGCTCCAGCTGGGACCAGGCTGAGAAGGGCAGGGTTTCTCTTTGAGGGGGTCTGGCTGGGGCCTCCAGCATCTGGAGAAGCTCTGTAGGAAAGCGAATGCCCACCTTGGAAGTCAAAGTCATGCCTCAACCGCGTCTGGGAGATGCTGATACGTGTGAGTAGGTGAAACACAGACCTCATTGGAGGGAAAAGGGATCCGGGGTCCAGGGAAGGGGCGGCGCTGGGGACAGAAGTGTCTGGAACACAGGGAGGGGCAGGGAGGAAAGGGAGGACAGGGCTGACCCAGGAGTGCACACAGCCGGAAGGGCATGTGACCCACCAGGGTTCTTGGAATCCTAAGTCAACAGACATTGATAAGAGGCCAGACAGGATATTCAGACAAGGTTTTATTGGAGCTCTGGGTGCATCAGGAGGGCAGTCAAACAAGTGATAAGATCCCTTGTTTGCTCCTGGGGGGTGAGGGGGTGTCAAGGTGCCTGTGGGAAATCCGCTCAATTAAATGGGGTGAGGGCGGGCTGGGTCCAGCATTGGGCAGGCGGGCTGAATGCGAGGTCTGTGCAGCCCTTGGTGGTGCTGTGTGCAGGCCAGGACCCCACTTTAGTTCTACAGCTCTGAAGGGGGGACTGGAGTTTTGATCTTTTTTGTTTTGATCTGGCGCATCACTTGCCCCCACTGCTCGTGTGTGTAGTGATTGTTAGTCCCTCGTGGTTTCCTTGCTGTCTGTGGCTCAAGAAGCTGTGAGTCTACGAGGAAGCACTGCAGCCCAGGACCCAGCGTGTCTGAAATCTAGAACCTGGAGAGCGGGGAGGGGGAGGGAATGGAGGATGGGGCAGGCCTAGGAGTGTGCAGAGCCCAGAGGAATCTAGAAAAGCCGGGGATGGGGGGCGAGTTTATGGGGCGAGGGGTGAAGAGAGGGGCACTGCCCTGTGGGGTGGGTGGGACAAGTCAGGGAGGGGAATAACTCTGATCGGAGGGGACGGACGGGGCTGCCTCCCCAGTTTCCGTTCTTGAGGCAAAGAGGCCTCAGGTGCATCCAGCGCTGTTGGAACCGCCAGCCTCCTGGGCCCCGCCTTGGGAAGCACAGAGCATCTTGGAGTCCACACCGTGGTCCACACGCTTCCCCCCGGGGCGGTCCTTACACTCCGGGGGCGCCTCCGTGGCGCAGAGCTTCTCCTTCTCTCTGTTCTGAACCTTGATGACTGGCGCCCGGGCCCTGTGAGCCCCGACCCCTCTCAGGGCCGCCCCGGCTCCTGTGGCCGCTCCGCTGAGATCGGGAGTCTGTCTCCGCAGCCCCGGGTCTGCGCCGCAGCGCCGCGCCTGCTGCCGAGGACGCCTCCTCAGGGCTCCCCTCCGGAATGCCCCGTTGGGCCCCTCGCAGCCTTCCACCCCACTGGGACTCAGGTCCCTCAGCCCTCCTGCCCCCAGGAGCCTGTTCTTCCAATGGCTCCTGGCTTCTCTCCAGATCTCCTTGCCAAAATTGGGCCTCTGTGTACTGGCGCCAGAGTACATCTGAGAGAGAGAGTGTCAAGTGAAATGGTAAAACTAGCTTTACAGCTTTGCCACACCCGGGGGACCAAGCAGGCTAATGCCCTCAAGACCGTGTCCTGGGACTTCCCTGGTGGTCCAGCGGTTTAGAGTCCACCTTGAAATGCAGTGGACCTGGGTTCGATCCCTGCTGGGGAATCTAAGATCTCACAGCCCAGGAGCAGCTGAGCCCTCGCCCCACAGCTGGTGAGTCTCTGCGCTACAAGCAAGATCCCACCAGAGGTAGGGACTATCCCGCACCTGCAAATCAGAACCAAGGCAGCCAAATAAATAGATAAATAAATAAAATATTAACATAAATAAAAGGCTGTGTGTCTGGTCCTGGAGGGGTCTGAGGAGTCTTATGGTGTTGAAGGAGCAGAGCCTGATCAACGCGAGTTCTCTCTTCTGTTGGGTCTGTGACGAGGTCACGGGCAGCAGCAGCCTCACCCTTGTGGTTCCAGCCGGTCTCAGGTCTTCGTGCTTGTGGGCGGCATAGTTCACTTCTTCCATCTGGCAGGGGTTTCAGATTCTGTAAAAGGGGTCAAATAGGACATTTGGAACCAGGACGGCTGCAAATAGTTATCGATAGCCCTTGAGGAAGAGCTAAGAGCCCATGGGTTTGTTTAATAGCTACGATATTATTATTTTCACTTCCTTGACAGTTTCCTTTCTTTCTGTATTGGCTCACTTCTATGATTAAATATATTGTTGACTGAAGTTGTTTTTCATAGATACGAGGCAGGTGCACATGTGTGGGGATCTCCGAAGGCCTCATAAGTTCCTTCTTGGCTCCAGTTCCAAGGGGACTCAACCTATGTAATTTGAGGAAAGAACACAAGAGCTGGAAATAATCTCAAGTTCCAAGCTTCCTTAGCATCAACAGTTTGTGTTAAGGAAATATTATTTCTCTCTTTGATTGCCTTGTGATAGCCCTTGGACCAACATTTGAAAAATATGAAAGCATATTACCATGAGGATAAGGATTAATGATTTGTGATATTTTCCCAAAGAGTCTTCCTATTTTAGAGGGCAACAAGGAAGATGAGTTTTTGAGTGTTTCCATCTGATAAATATGTAGGGTCCCAGTGGTCTTTGCTGTGAGGCTAGCGCTTGAACTGTCTCATTCAGAATTAGTGTTGCAACTAGAGAAAGCCTGCGCTAGCAACGAAGAGCCTGTGCGCTCCATCAAAGACCCAGCCTCCAAGAACGAGGAAGTAAGCCAATCATAAAACTATATGTACAAAATAGAGTCTCAGACTGAATTCCAGAAAACAAGGAACCAACACCATTTTAACCTCAGGAAATCGAGGCTCAAATCCTGCCATTTGATTTTGCTTGCAGATTTCTCTCTTCTAAAGGGCCCCATAATATGAAGATTATTGCAAATCTCAGGAGACAGTCATTTTTATTTACCTGATAAGGCTGCTCAGAGTTAAGCATCTCTGACTTCTGGAGAAACCAAGAGAGAGAAAAGTAACATATTTCCGTTTTACTCACAGAGGGCAATTACTCAGTTGCTGTCAATCACTAGTAGCTTGAGGGGAAGGGCTGGGCTTTATCTAGAAAGCCAACAGATAAATAATATTTCAGAGCAAAAAAAAAAATACCCATAAACTTTAAAACTATATTTACAAGTTGACTCAGTATTTCATCTTTTGTTAAACACATTTATAATACCAGCAGGTTTTTTAAAAGGAGATTTTAAATTTTCTTATCCAGTTAGTTGCCTGGTATAATGTGAAATTGATCAGACATCAGTGCTTGTCAAAATGGTCTCTCCTATGAATCTTCTTGGGCGATGAAGATCTTTTGCAAAACCATCAGAGGATAGTAACTGTGTGCTACTGACGTAAAGATTGAAAGTCATGGTGACACGCCTGAGCAGAATGTAATGGGTTAAGAAACTTGGTCACAATAACCAGAACTGTGACTTGGTAGCAGAACTTGGTATGTCCTAATTATGATGTTAGGACCTACCAGGTTTGTAGTAATTCCATAATTTTTTTTTTAGCAAATCTCTATTAATAATATCCATCCCACTTTAACCTGAGAAAGCTTCTCCTTCACTTGATAATGCTCCCCATGGTGTTTAACATACCGGTGATGCTAGTTAATCTAATATTTCCCTCTGAGATGCCTCACAATTCCTCTGGACCACTCAGAGTTAGCTAGAGAAAGAGACTTACCATCTGTTGTCCAAGGCAGGTCTATATTCCAGGAAAGTTTGTTCTGTTAACAGAGAGAAAACCAACTTCCAGTATTATTGTAGCTTACTATTAATAAAAAAAGTCATTTACTTAATTAAATTATATTTTATTTTAATCAATCCTGAACTGTACACAATTCTTGCTAAAGTCACATCATGATAAATGCTGGGCTGGAAGAAGCAGAAGCTAGAATTAAGATTGCAGGGAGAGAAATCAGTAACCTGAGATATGCAGGTGACACCACCCTTATATGCAGAAAGTGAAGAAGAACGAAAGAGCCTCTTGATGAAAGTGAAAGAAGAGAGTGAAAAAGTTGGCTTAAAGCTCAACATTCAGAAAATTAAGATCATGGCATCAGGTCCCATCACTTCATGGCAAATGGATGGGGAAACAATGAAGCAGTGAGAGACTTCATTTTTTGGGGCTCCAAAATGACTGCAGATGGTGACTGCAGCCATGAAATTAAAAGACGCTTACTCCTTGGAAGGAAAGCTATGACCCACCTAGAGAGCATATTAAAAAGCAGAGAGATTACTTTGTCCACCAAGGTCCGTTTAGTCAAGGCTATGGTTTATCCAGTAGTCATGTATGGATGTGACAGTTGGACTGTACAGAAAGCTGAGCGCTGATGAATTGATGCTTTTGAACTGTGGTGTTGGAGAAGACTCTTGAGAGTCCCTTGGACTGCAAGGAGGTCCAACCAGTCCATCCTAAATGAGATCAGTCCTGAGTGTTCATTGGAAGGACTGATGCTGAAGCTGAAACTCCAATACTTTGGCCACCTGATGTGAAGAGCTGACTCATTTGAAAAGACCCTGATGTTTGGAAAGATTGAGGGCAGGCCAAGAAGTGGACGACAGAGGATGAGATGGTTGGATAGCATCATTGACTCAATGGACATAAGCTTGGGTGGACTCTAGAAATTGGTGATGGACAGGGAGGCCTGGCACGCTGCAGTCCATCAGATCGCAAAAGGTTGGACACGACTGAGTAACGAAACTGAATTGAACAGAAAATGTATAATAGATAATATTATATTATATTGTATTATATATAATATATGCTATGTAATCTATCTTATGAGATACACATTATATATTATATAATATGTTATATATTATTTAATTATATAATGGGGTTTATAGTATATATAATAATTAAAATATAACATGATAATAAAGTATGTATAATATACTTTACAGAGAGTAAACTGAATATAACAAAGTATAATAATAAATCTTATTTTATATATTATATATTTGTTTTATATGATACTATCTGATATATCTTATATGTTGTACTACATATCATATATTTTATATCATGTATTTTTATATGGGATAATAGGGTATATATTTATATAGATATTTATATCATATTTATATGAATATCATATTTATATTTTATATAGCATTCTATTTTTATATAAATTTATATTTATATTTATTTCAATAATTGACTAATAATTTAATACAAGTATATATTACATATAAATTAGTGTATTATTAATTTTCTATAACATATTTATTTACATATTCTTATATATGTATATGTAACAACTTATAGTATACATTTACTTAGTTATATTTACATATATAGTTATATTATATCCAATATATAATATATATATCATGTATATGATATATGCAATTATATCGAGATACATATTATATAAAAATAACAGTTATATATTATATTATGTAATTATAAAATAATGTGTATATTACATATAGAAAATATATTATATATCAAAAATAATTATATTAAATATATTAATTATATTTACATTCATATTAAGTATATAAAATATTATTTAGTTATTAAATGTTATATAACATACATATAATATTATATTTATATTATATTATACATATGTTACTGAATAGGACTATATTGCATTAATATGCATATTTGTTAAATAGACAATATATTATTACAATAAACATAATAACTTACAATTTATAAATTATATAAATTAATATATATTAGATGATAATGATGATATTATTATATTAATATTGATAATGATATATATAAATGACATATTATTATATATGTAATATATATTCATATATGATATTATGTATTATGTTACATACATTATATATAATAACTAAATTAAATACTAGACATAATTTTTATTATATATATCATATATTTTATTTTCATTTTAATATAGTTATATATAATCCATTTCAATTATATATTAATATTAAATAATAGTTTATATGTTATATAATACAGTATATATATAATAGCTTTAAGAATTCTAATAATAAATTATATGTAAATATACTTTATATTTATATAAAGTATATATAATAAAGCTTAATACTAATTATATGTAATATATAATATATATTGATATATAACATATATTACATTTTACATGATATGTAATATATCATTATAGATCACATATCATATATTATATGATATATATAAAGTATATAATATATATTTAAGCAATATGTGTACAATATATATATCAAGTTTACAAAGTATAATTGTTGTCCTTACATATAATATATATACATAATTCTTATATATGTAATTATTTTATATAATATAGCAATTGCATATAATGAAATATAAGATGTAAATTAATATATCTCTACATGTATATATTATATATTTATACATCAATTTATATGTATAATCCTCTGTATAAATATGTGTTTTATTATTAACATATATGTTATATATATTTAATGTACTTTGGTATATATTATATATTTGTATTTCATATATACTAAGTATATTAAATATATCCTTATTGGTATGTATAATATTATATGTAATAGTAATACATATTTTATATAATTTTTAATAAGTATACAATTGTTTAATGGAAGGTTAAAAACGTTTTCAATAAATTTTTATAAATATAACAAAATTTTACATATAAGATATAATAATTGTAATATGATAATATAATTATAATACACAACAATTATATGCATACACGTCATATATTTATATTTTTATATATTTATATATTCCTATGTCATAATGTCATTTATTATTTTATTATTTTTATATATTGTGTTTTCATTTTCATTTATTTAAATTTATTATATTTTATTTCTTTATTATTATTTATTTTTACTAGATGTTAAATCATATCGCATTTTTAAAATGCCTTAAAACTTAAAACCAAGAAACAGGCAATTGAATTTTTTTATCAACAGTAGATTTTGTAACCTGTCAAACATACATATCTTAGGGCACAATTTTCCTTTATGCCGTACAAGATATGTACTTAATAAACTCAAATATGTTAAGTGTTTTTCCATAAAAGGC